TAGCAACAAGGGTGCCTATTACGTGGCCGTATTGTCCGATCGAGGCTACATAGGGAGAAGCGAAGGCTATTCACAGTCAGTTGTACTGTAACAGTCGCCGAGTCCAGTTGTACTGAGTCAGTCAGTGAGTCCTGGAGCTACCGCCGAGTTAGCCAGCAACTAGTCAGTTGTATTCTGGCATTTGGAGTGTACTAATTGTGATACTGCAGATAGCAGTAATCGTAAATCTGTAATTTGAGTGATTGTAAGTGCGAATGTGAAATAAAATTCGCTACATCGAATACATCGAGAATTTATTTGTCGCGATATACGCCCGATACGCGACAATATGCTAAACTGCACACTTGGAATTATATGTACTCACTTCATACTACAAAATGCCTAAAATGTGGTAACCTGGTAAAAGCTGTCCTTGTAAGTGACCATGAAGGCCCATAGGGTTCTAAGACATTGAGGCCCCCCCATATTTTCTAGACATCGGCTCACAGATGGCAATAAGGCTGTCAGCCTTACACACCGGCCATCCTTTACACCCCAGGATGGTTCCTAGTACTCATTTCTGTTAAGAGGCTGAGTCGACCTCAGGGCCATAGTGCAGCTGGAAGGATGAGGTAAACTGAAAAATGCACCTCATCAGAACTCGAACCCACAACCTTCCAGCTTGTAGCGTTGTATCTTCAGCAAGCACGGGGTTTGCCAGAAATATTTAACTTTCTGTATTTGTACAGCTGCCAGTAAAAATGGAGTCTGTCATATTCCTTGGTATTGGCTCTTATTATCATGATCAGACCTACTGATGAACACATAACAATGTAACTCCAGGGACTGACCTGAGGAGTCCTGTCTCCATTGTCTGCTGCTGTTGTGATTATTTCTGGCTGTGCTGATGCACGTCTCACCTGGGTGGGTGGTACTAACAATTCTAGGCCTCGTGTCTGACCCACATCCTCTGGCAGGGCTGAGGCCCGTCGGTGGCTTCCATGAGGAGTGCACACTGTACCCATCTGACACTTTGTTACACACTTCTTATGGCATGTCATTGCGCAGTCACGACACTGCACTGCATCTTTCAGCCAGATCTGTGTTAACACGCAATTCATAAAATTATCTCTAATGACAGAACTACCACTGAACTATTGCAACAACTTGCTAGATTGGTCTGCCCAGTGTGGGCAAGCCAATAGGAACTCCTGTTTCCTATATAATCTGAAATTTCAGCAAGCTGACTGCTCTGCTTGTTATTCGTTACTTCATGCTGGTTCCTTGCTTGGCTTATTGATGGGTGTCAGCACCATAGATAGTAGTTAGCCGTGAGCACAGAAGCAGGCTGTTACAAGCTGCTACCTAGCAACGATTAGTGTAGATATAGCAAGTAGGCTGACAAGACTTAGTGTGTGCTGTCATGATTTGTGAAGTGTATAGATCAGTGACAGTATTATAATTATTTGTAATTACAAGTCATAAGCATTCAATAACTCCAATTACCAATCCAAACCCATGTCCAGCCATTAATACATGACAATATTAAGAGGAACCTTTAATTTTTATGTATGTGATCTGTAATGTTTTCTCCTAATATGTACACTCCTCGAGGATGGTCTCGTGAGGCTCAAACATGTCAGGGAATTAATACAGTAAAAAATAAACCAGATATACTTAGATGGTGATTTACATTTGACTCTAATGGAAATCTGTTCCCAACACAGTGCAATCTTATATAAAAAAATATGTGTAAAAACATTTGATGTGCCAGCCTGTGTAATAACAGGAAATTTTTTAGCATTACCTTCTTTCCACAGAATTCACATTGTGTTGTTCTGTGGAAATGCGTTCTGATGAAGTCATGCTGCTTCTTGCCCGCCTCCTGATTCTGTTCTGGCCTCGGAAGCAACAGTTGGGTTGAGGAAGGTACCAGCTTAATTGGACTCAAAGTTGGTCTGGATGGGGGACCACCAGTCTGTCCCATATACAAAAATGATAGCAAGATGTCACCATAGCACAGACATGGCTCAAACCCTGAATGCCCAGATAGCACATGGTTACAGCTGAAAAGAAGATGGGACTATGAGATCCATGCAAGGGAAAGAATCCAATTACACAACCCAGAATGTGACAGAGGTCATCAAACATAATGAGAGGGAATGCAGTGCAGCCACATCATACATGCATTTAACTCCTGTGAATTTAACCATATGCACTTTCCAATGAATAAATAAGCAGTGCAGGCAATTCCGTGTGCCTTGCTACTCAGTGAACACAAGACCAGAGAGAGCATAAACCATGACTTTACCTCAGTTTCCACGTATCTCTGACTATCCCAGACACTAGCTGTCAGGGGAAGAGACTAATCATAAAAATATCCAGGATGAGTGGTGAGAGATCAGGTTTACTGTTTTTTTAATCTTTCATTCTTCTATCTCTCTCCCCCCTGCTTTTTTATGCAATTAAATACATAATTACTGTACATGTTACTTGCACATGTACCCTTTATTACATACATTATAAGCATTACAGGGTATATACAAACACAGTACTCTATAATATTATCTATATTTATAGATCAATGCAAGTGTCGTTGTTTTATTGACTGGTGCAATTTTGTATATGCATGTTGATGTATCTGTATTCAATAGGTCTATTTCCACATCCCGCTTTGTTAACCTGTATGGATATACTCGTATATGGAAAAATAAAGAATGAATGAATGAATGAATGAATGAATTAGGGGTTTTCAAGGTTAATTCTGGCAACATGGGATTTTGAGTTTATACAATCTTTACAATGTAACCCCCCTTGCATGATGCAACTCCACTGCATATGGGGTATTACAAGACTTATTACTTTGTTCATAATGAAAGCTATGACATAAATTAAGCATGAAATTATTGTTAATAAAACGAAAAAGCATTCGCAATATTCATGACAAAACTTTACTGAATTTCGCCGGAATTTTGTCATCGTACTATGACATGACATCTGAAAGACAGAATAGTGGAACAATAAAAGAGGCAGCTGTTGCTATGCAACGGCATGTTAAACATGTTCCATGGTAACACATAAACATACAACAGCAGGGAGTCAGATGTCAGAGTTGGCAGTCAGTGAGTGTCGAGTTGCACTAGATGCTGCTACCAAGCAACGACTAGTGAAGACATGGCAGACTGAGAAGTCTTCATGATTTGCAGAGTATGTAGATTAGTGAAAGTGTTACAGTTATTTGTAGTTATGAGTTATAAGCAACAAATAAATCCAATTATCAATCCAAACTCCATGTCTAGTAACTGACAACACAAACAAAGAGACTTAAACAAATTCCAGTGTACCAAATCTTGTTTTGAAATTTCACACATGAAGTCCTCACGCCAAAGGAGACAAAAATAAAATATATTCTCTGTCAGAAGTGACAAAATAATTTGTTTTCTATTTTTTTTTTATGTATATCACAGAATAATCGATTCAGGTCACCTGCTAAAACTGCACAGCTTGCGTTCCTCCACCTTGTCATGCAGTTCATCCTAATCATCTTCATTGCTATGTAAACAGTCTTGATGTGCATTAACCTTTATGAGTCGAAAGACACCGTATGGGGACCTTTAAAGTAAAGCCAAGTGGCCGAAAGACACCATATGGTAACTCGCAGTCCACGCGTCCACACAGTGTTTTAAAATCTAATTTTAAGATAGAAATTCTTGTTCTACTTATGTTATTTTTGGACACCAGCTTTACAAGTATACTGTCTTCCCTCCTGCATCATGTAACTGAATGTTGCATGTGACTGAATGCAGAGTCCGAAGTCGCAATTCATGCACTTTGTCCATATGTAACTCTGTTTTCCACGGGAAGCACACACACGCAACATCTGTCTCGTATTAGCAGGAAGTAGGCCAGTGATGGCGAGTGGTCTCCTCTATTCGTAACACTTATAAAACATCACAATTTCAACTATGCACCATGGCCCCATTTCGCATGGAAGAAGCCGAAATTGAGAGGCCGCTCGTAGATCACACCATTCAGAATGCGAACATAATTTCTGGACACCAGCTTTATAAGTAGACTGTCTTCCCTCCTGCATCATCTAACTGAATGTTGCGTGTAACTGAATGCAGAGTCCGACGTCGCAATTCATGCACTTTGTCTGTATGTAACTCTGTTCTCCATGCGCAGCACACACATGCAAAATCTGTCTCGTATTAGCAGGAAGTAGGCCAGTGATGGCGAGTGGTCTCCTCTATTCGTAACGCTTATAAAACATCACAATTTCAACTATGCAAAATGGCCCCATTTCGCATGGAAGAAGCCGAAATTGAGAGACCGCTCGTAAATCACACCATTCAGAATGCGTTACAGTTTATTCTGAAGGGACGTGGAAGCAAGGGGAATGAGGGGTTATTCCAAGAAAAGTGCCTCTGTGTGGATAGTCCAACATACGAGGTGTGTTCAGGAAATAATGGGAATTTTAAAATTTCGCNGAGTGCCTCTGTGTGGATAGTCCAACATATGTGTATAAACAGGCAGAGTTTCATAAGGACAAAGTAGGATAAGAACTCGCCCATACTTGTGTATAGAGGAAGCTGATGTGACTGGAGAATGTGCAGTACAAACAAACTTCCTCCCCTTTCGCCAGATAAGACATAGTAAGAGAGAATGTCAGCAGCATGCATTTATACTGCAGAAACGTTTTGTGCATTTTTGTGGACAGACACTCAAAATTGGGGAAATTTTTTTTTTGAATCAATGTAACAATTTTTACAGATTCTAAACTCTGTAAATTACACTATCTGATTCTATATTCTTTCTAGATAAAAGTAGCGTTTATTTCGTTCGTTTATCACAAAAAATGTAGAAATCACAGCATTTTCAGTAACATGACTACAATATTTATTACTCTACAATGGCGGGCATTTAAATTAACTCTGGCCCGCGGCCATTATTGGAATTTAAATGGCCCATCTCTTAAAGGTTAACAGAAACTATAGCATGCGCTTCAAAATTTCTACAAAATCTACAAAACTTGAAATTTTAATATAACTCGCCTCATGGCCATGTGAGGCTCTGGAGGCAGGAGAAAGTAGCTCTTGATGTGGTGTCCAAGTTTCGTTGCACAGCACTCAGAAGCAATGGATGATAATGGTATGCTGATGTGACCCAGTAACACATCGCGATCCCCTCTGCCTGTTGGCTTTGTGCCATTCTCAGACTTGCTCCACGCACTCACATTTAGATACCGGTGGTTTTCATGGATTTGGAATGTCACTGATTCATCAAACAAGACTATCTGCAAAAACATATACAAAAATGTCCAGCTTTCACTTATTGCACATATTGACACTGAAGCTTTGCACATACATCACTCAGCTGTTCCGTAATAATGTGCCATCAGCTTCAGGTCTTAGTGCAAGAGCCAGACTAATCATCCTTGAACTGTTACGGAGAAGGCAGGAAATCTTCCATGGCATATCTGATAGTACTGACTCAGCATTCTGTTAGAACTGAGGATTTCTATATGCAACTGCTATTTGGTGTTAAGTTTAAAAAACTTTGCTAATGGTAACAGAACACATAAATGTACATACTTCAAGCTTAAACAAGCACTGTAAGATACCTTGTTACCATTAGCAAAGTTTCCCCCCAACCCCCCAATACTTCAAATTTTGTAATTTCTAACCACCTGGAAGACCCAGGTGAAGAGTGGAAGATGATTAGGGTGGAAGGGGGTGTGAACTGGATTTGACTGGCTCAGGTTACAAACCAGGAGTGAAGTTTCGTGAACACAATAATGAACCTTCACCTTCCATACAAGGTGCGGGATTTCTTGCCTAGCTGATCGAGTATTACCTCTCAAGAAGGATCTGAATTATGGAGTTAGTTGCATATGCACTATTTGGAAACAGTCACTATAAGAATTAAAATCATTTCAGGTAAATGTTGATACCTGGTCATGAGGCAACTCCTTGGTCTTGCTGATTTGCAAGTAATTTTCAGAAGTGGTCACATCTATATCATCTCTATCGAATGAACCTTTGGAATCCTTTGTTTTATTAACAGGTAATGCAGGAGGCTTGTGTTTGTGTTCTGGGCTTGAATGAGCAGATCGACAGAACAAACTGGGTCTTTTTGCTGGAGAACCTGTAACATTTCAACCAATATCAGACACAGTACACACTGTAAATTGTTGCAAGAAATAACCTTCAAGATCTAAGTATGGAAGTATGGTTACTTCATAATTTTACGATGATGTATCAGTGGCTGAGGTCAACAACACCAAAACAGATATGGTAAGGCGACTAAGAATGGTGACTCAGGAGGAATGTATGTACGAAAATGTGAATTTTAACTGGTTGAGTAATTCAATGGTGAAGATATACTATAAGAGAAGGAACATCAAGAATTACACGAAAAATTACTAACCTCAAAATATTTCAATCAACAAAAATAAAAAATAATCAAAGAATCATACTTAGATAAAAATACAGTGTGGGAACATCCCACACATTAACGCACGGTTTCTCCACTCTAACAGACAGCACTCACTCCTAGTCAACATCACATTGCCACACGTTGCTGCCACCAATCATATTTATACAGCACTCGATATCCAGCCCACCTGTAGATCAAGATCACTACCCAATCAGTGCTCACAATCGCAACTGCAAGTTTAAGCTCCACCCAGCAAGCATGGTATAAAAGCGGAGCCCAAAGCTTGCAATCATCAGTGATCAGATTCAGTTCAGAGCGATCAGTCATCAGATCACATTCAGTTCAGTGATCAGTCATCAGAATCGTGAGGTGTTCACTGCACCAAAGACAGTTGCCGCAACTCTCCAGCAACAACGGTCTACTACCAGACAGCTAACGTAGTTGCCACAGCTCTCCAGCAACCACGCTCTGTGACCAGGCAGCTAATGTAGTTGCCGCAACTCTCAGCAACCTCGCTCTGCGACCAGGCAGCTAACGTAGTTGCCGCAAATCTCCAGCAACCACACCGTAGGCAGCAGTTCCTACAGGCGCATGCAGCACCACATTACCAGCTGGACAAACCAGCTGAACAGCCATAAAGACTTGGTCTACTACAAAGGAGCGTTCAACCTTCTGGAATATAACTCTGCATAGTCCAGTGATAATCAACAGACATTTCAAAGGAACATAAAAAAAATGTAAAGCTATTACTGTAACAGGCCATGGAGGCCCACAGGGTTGTGAGACACTGAGGCTCCCACATTTTCTAGACAGTCACCTCACAGATGGTGGTAAGACTGTAAGCCTTACACACCTGCCACCCTTTACGTCCAAGAAAGATTTCTGGAACTCATTTCTGTTAGAGGCTGAGTCGACCCCAGGCCAATATTGTGGATGGAGAATTGAGTAAACTGAAAAAATCCAACGACCTCATAGAGAATCGAACCCGCGACCTTCCGGCTTGTAGCACAGTACCTCAACAAACTACACTACTACGTCCCCTTCAGAGGAACATATCATGTCCATTTTCAAGGTAAAAGAGTAAGTCTAGCAGGAACCAGCATGAAGCAGGCAAAAACAGAAAAAACTGGGTGCAGGATAGACAGATGCATATAGGCTAGGAGGGAACTTGCAAGACAGCAAGTCTCCTCACATAGGTCTCCTTGAGAAACAGTGCAAACCAAAAGGAAGCAAGAGAAGAGTAACTACCTTGGACTACTGTGACTTGCACACATGGAACATAAGTGATGGATCATAATTGTGTGCGATAGGCACAAAAACGAAGAGCATGCAAGAAAAGTCACATAGGGACATGAATACACATTGTAGGGGGGATAGGGGGATACGAAGAGCAAGATATGGCAAACACAGAGCTAGGAAAGAAAAGGAAGCCCTAGGGTTGATGGGAGTCTGGAAAGGGTAGAATTCTGCAAAGAATATCATGATAATTTAATAAATATCTTTACTCAATTCCAGTCCTATGCCACGGTTCATCAACCATCACAATCACAGTGAGAAAAAAACAGAAGTTATTGGGTTGTAACATTATTTCCCATTCTGTATGAAAATTATGTTAAAAACTACATTTTTAATGTTCTCCATGCCAAATTTCAGCACCAAATGTGCAGCATTAATATTATTCAGACCTTAGTACCTCAGAAGTTTACATGGTTGTCAAGTCGGTAATGTTGGCAGTGACAAACCAAAAAGTAAGAATGTGGGACTGCCTCCAGCAACAGCATAATGTCTAGTCCAGATTTAATCACAATCTGCCAACTGCTTATGCAGTTAATATTCGCATGTATGTGCATGTAAGCATCACACTCCTTGTAAAATAATCAAATGACATTACAAATGAAGAATTTCACTGTTCATTTGTGAGGACAGTACCTGGCAAAGAAGCGGGACTTGAGCTGCTACTGTCACTCTCCGTTTTGTCCCCAGAGCCTCTGCGATGTCTGAGCCCAGAGTGGCCAAGTACGGGAGAACCAGGAAGGGATAGCTGTCCATCTGTGTTTGAGATGTGACCAAGCTCTTCTTCATCTTGCTAGAAACAAAACCTCTTGATTAAAATGATTCTTGTAGGATTTGAGGTTCCTGCAGTGGTGGTTATGCACAGTTCTATCATCTGGGATATAATGCTACGTAGTACACTAAAAGCCAGCCAGTATTTCAGAGGAACATGTCGCCTCCATCTTCAGAATCGAAGCATACGCAGGCAAGAAACCAGTATGAAACAAGTAGCCGGATGAAGATCGAGGTGACATGTTCTTCCAAAATGTCTGTTGACTTTCTCAACAGACTACAAGGTGTTATATCCCACAAGACAGAACTCCTCAACAATTATTTTTTGTGACTGAATAACAATAAAATACCTTGGTAAACATATATTAAAGTCCAATCTTTAAAAAGCATCATTACAAAATTATTATGGTTTTTACGAGTTACAAATCTTAGTCAAAGACTAATGAATCACACAATACCAAAACTAAACATAAAAACTTAGAATTTGGTAAGGAAGTAACTTTTATCTCCTTTATTATTCAGCATACCAGTGTTTCTGAGCTAAATATATCTACATATCACCCTGCAAATGTATTTGTGTACTTTCCTAGGTAACTTTCCTTCAGATATACATGTGTGCGCACACTCTATTTAGCCAGCTTTTACTTACACATTTACATATGTGCATACTCATCAGAGAGTTGAATTGAAAGTTCAATGTAACAAATGTCCACGCAAAGTTATAAGAATATTTACACATGTTAAATTGATGATCCATGACATTACTGTTTAAAAGTTTCAGGGGCAAAACTACCAACCTTCATAATGTCTTTATCTGTCCTTTCAGAAGGCTGAACCCTCAAATTAAGCTGCCTCTCCACACGAATAGTGAACTTATCTCCAGTTCCCTTGATGATACGTGCAGCTTGTGCCATGGATGTGATACGTTTCCCATCCACAGCCACCACAATGTCACCATGCCTCACATCAGCTGCACTGGCAGGAGATTGTGGCAGCACAGTATCCACCAGAACACATGCCTGGTAGCGTTCTGCAACAAACTCCTGCTTGAACACCATGCCGAGTTGCTGGAACGGGTTCTTAATGAGTGTGAGGTCCAGGGTCATAAAGCTCGATGTTTCAGACTGAACCATCTCAACCCATGCCGTTGAATCTGAAACATGCCAGCAGAAGTATCCAGAGTCAAAATGAAGACATGTTTCAACTCAAGCTACTTAAATGCAAAAATGCCAACATATACAGGTTGTCCCAGGAGGAATGTGCCAAACTTCGGGAGGGTGTTCCTTATGTTAAAGTATGCCGATATAACCCAAAACACCTATGTCCAAAATTGAACAGTTACAGAGATACTGGCCCGAGAAAAGTGTGGTCTTCTGGCGGGTCCATGCACTGTACTTGTCAGCTGAGACGTCTTATCTATGTTTGTCCTTGAGTGTGGTGATTCACACTAGCCGTAAGCTCATGTGCTACATACAGAGTACGTTGCGGCCATGTCGTGAATGGTTGGTAATTAGTTGTGCAGAGTTGCTGAAATGCCTTTTGTGTTTTCACAAGTGGAATATTGTGATATGCATTTTGTGTGTGGATTTTGCGGTGGCAATGCACATGCTGCTGTTGAAGAATACCAAAGGCGTTTTCCTGATCGAAGGATTCCATCTCGAAGTGTATTTACGCGAATTCACCAGACATTGCGTGATACTGGTTCTCTTCCGAGTGTTTCTGTGCAGTCTGAAAGGGAGGATGTACGAATGATAAACACACGAGAGAACATTCTTGAGATGGTTCAGAGAAGTCCGTGTCTGTCCACTCGTAGAATGGCCTCTCGCATCGGTGTATCACGTATGCAGGTGTGGCGAACTTTACATGATGAAGAGTTGTATCCTTACCATGATCAAAGGGTACAACATCTGGAACCAGGCGACCATGCACAGCGTATGGATTTGTGCCAATGGATAAAAGCTCATCCCAAACTGTTAAGCGTCATTTTATTCAGTGATGAGGCGTCTTTTACGTGGGACGGTGTAAATAATTTACGAAATGTGCATACATGGTCCCATAATAATCCACATGAGATAATGGAAACGAAATTCCAAAAGAGATTTTCCGTGAATGTACGTTTAATACAGTTATGTAGTCGGCTTATACCAGTATGCGCAGTCAGCCATGTTACGTCAGCGCTTGCCAGTGATGTGTCATGTATAGTGCTTGGAACCCTAAGGACAACTATGACATGGCGTGCGAGTTTCTTTGTAGTTCAATTTAATGGCTTCATGTCACTTACAAGTTAGTTTGATGTTACGTACATTATTAACATTACAGAAACCACATGTTCCTGCCAGTTTTAATATGTATTTTGTAATAAACAAGTGTGTAACATCTGTCAAAGTTTCACACTTCTCTGGCCATTATCTCCGTAACCGTTCAACTTTGGACATAGGTGTTTTGGGTTATATCAGCATACTTTAACATAAGGAACACCCTCCCGAAGTTTGGCACATTCCTCCTGGGACACTCTGTATAGTAAGATCTAGGATACCATGAAGATACGAGACTAATAAAAAGATCTTAACATCCACGTACATTACGTCTATACATAAAGGTTCTAAGCAATAGAGATAAAAAGCTGAAGACTTTCTTGCTTTAATGTAACAGCCACATCAGCTCAAAGTGTTGAGTCTCAAAGGTACCAAACAAGACACATTCACAATTGATTCATTATGTGATTTCAGTGTTTCCGTTCCTCTATCATTCTGCCTCAACTTCTGTCAGATGGCTAGAAATGTGTATGAGTATGCCAATAAATATACTGTATTTCACAGCTGGCAAGAAACACACTAAAAAATAATGCAGCAAACTAAAATGTACATGACAGAAGTGCCATCTATGTTTGCTAGAACACTGGAGGTTATATAGTAGCTTGGCTTCAAACTGTAGCCAGGAATGAGGACAGAGACTGCACTCTGTGGACCAACCAAATACTTAATTATTTACAGTTCACTGTAAAACAACTATATTCATTGTTAAATTAATATTTGATTTTTTGTAAATTCCTTTTACAAATTATTCTGTTAAACATCATTTTTTCATTATATATGGACAAATACCGTCTTACGTGCAACAATTTTATTGTAGTTTTTACTTCTTTTTCCTCCTCCACACTACATGTTTCGGCCCTAAATGGCCATCATCAGGTGTGTATTACTCACGTAGCTGTTACACTGCTTGTTAAAATTTAAAATCACCAGTCTTTCTAATTGTATAAAATCTTTTTTAATCTACACGCGTCAATTTGATTTTTAAAATAGCACTTTTTAAAACTTTAATTCAAGTTAAAATGTCTATAAGATCTCCGTTCTCTTTCTTTTTCAAATTTTTTAATTAAAATTTTTCAGGGTACATGCCCTATATCTACGGTGCTGCAGCGGCCATTTCTTGTTTTTATCGCTGTTCATGTGTTGTTCTGTGTAGGCGCTCTCTGTGTGTGTCGCTGCTTATCTTTAATACATTTAATTAAAGAAGGGTTAACAAGCAGTGTAACAGCTACGTGAGTAATACACACCTGATGATGGCCATTTAGGGCTGAAACATGTAGTGTGGAGGAGGAAAAAGAAGTAAAAACTACAATAAAATTGTTGCACTTAAGACGGTATTTGTCCACATATATTGTGCAAGTGTAACAGGATGCTGAAATATAATATCATTTTTTCATATAATATACTTCCAGCTATAATGCAACTTATTATTGTTCCCTTTCCTTCTCACAATATGTTTCAGCCATATACGGCCATCATCAGGTGTCTCTAACTCGTTGACATTGTTGCACTGCAACCACCTTCTTGTATCACATGTGAATGTGATCTCTCTTAACTTTAAAATAAATGGACCTTAATTAAAATCAATAAAACTAGTTAAAACTGAGTTAAATTTTGATATTTTGCTTGGGGTCATCATCATCCATTCATCCAAATGACACTGTTTAAAGTCTCCTTGATTGGATTTATTTGCACAGCGGTATGGGTGTGTGTGTGTTATTGTGTAGTTCCCAAGTATGTTGGTGTAGCCATCATCTGCAACATGTAAAGAACATATTACTGATATTGTTAATTTTGCTATATATTTCGTGTCCTTCTACATTAGTTTACTCATGTATCATTTGCCAACAGACTAAAGGCTACAAGTGAAAACAACAATACAAACAACATAATGCTCACCAACAGCAAGTGAACAGTAGATGTCACCTTCAACAAGATCTGCCATGAGTCTAGTGACCTCAATAACAGTTACTTGCAATGTTCCAGGAGGGCATGCTGTTGCCTCCTCCAACTCTTCCCCTGGCTCTGACTTAGGGAAAAACGGTTTGTAGCGCAGTTTGTAGTTTGGGAGTGTGTGCTTCTTCTTCAGTGACCTGCGAATCTGCACCCAATCCAGTGTGTCAGTCAGTTTGAAAACACGGGAACATAAAAATAATTAATCTAACAGTTCAAAACGGGTTTAAAGAGTTCTCATACAGAGTGTCGAATAAAAACAATAATAAATAAATCCACCAAGCAGAATTCTTGCAAAGCTGATAGTATCTTCACTTAGTATGAAACCGCAAAATTTCGTTACTTCATTCACAAAGGTCCATCACTGGGACCTATTCTGATCCAGCCCAAAACCTCCAACTTTATTTCTTTAAGCAGGTTTCAAATATAATGTATTTTTTCCATTACGTACACTGTGCCAAATAATCCATCAAAGTATAAAGTCCAGTGAGATATTCACTAACACACCAGTACCAGTTTCGTAAGGTCGGAGGTTGTTATCGCCACCCACCCCCCAAGGGACAAATGTCCCTTGCCAGCCATACACACACTTTATTCAATACATTCACAGCTTCCCTTCATACAGACAATATCCTCCATTAGCAACAAGAGAACACACCATTCCACAATTACAAGAAAAGAAAGAAAGGTAAAGCTATCCCTGTAATAGGCTGAAAAGGCCCATAGGATTATGAGATATTGAGGTTCACACATTTTCTAGACAATCGGCTCACAGATGGCAGTGAGGTTGTCAGCCTTACACGCCGACCGCCTTTACCCCCAGGAATATTCCTGGTACTCATTTCTGTTAGAGACTGAGTCAACACCAGGGCCATAGTGCAACTGGCAGGATTAGGTAAATTGGAAAAAAATCCACCTCATCGAGACTCGAACCCATGACCTTCCAGCTTGTAGCATAGTGCCTCAACCAACTATGCTACTGCATGCCCCCACAATAACAAGTAACCCACTTAATATAGAAATATGATATTCAGTCCAAATGATGGTTATAGACAGAGAAGTACACTGTAAAATCTCTTAATAAGCAACATTTATGAAATGATTAGAAATGTGTATACGCTTTCCCACTGAAGAAACCCAAAGTGGGACAATATAACAACAAACAGGATCAGCACAGTGGTAATGAAAATAGCACGGGAGACACCCAACTCCACAATTCATTGAGCCTACAGCTATGCACACCTTATACTGTGCAACCACTAGATCAGGAGCACAAATATACTTATAAGTCAGGTAATGCTCTCACATCTGTGAAGCATGCTGCCTGCATATTACAAGTTTTGTTCTAACTTTCAGTGTTCATTGTGTAACATGCCTAATATTACTTCAAGAGTAACATCTTGTGAAACATATTTCTTTGCATAGTGAACCTGTCCCCACAGTTGTCATTTTTTCTGCCTCTTCTCAGGTGTTCTCCTTTCTTGTTCATGTCCAACTTAATTATATAATTCTTCATTTATCATTCTGTCAGCTCTCAACAGAGCCATTTGTCACTGATATCTATCATGAAATAAATTAGGCTTTTAAATCTCACACACTATAGAAAGCAGTTTCCTCAGCTCCAAATGGCTTGTATAAGGAAACTGCCTTCAAACTGTGAATGCGTTTAGATACAGGTATTACCTGACTGACTATAATAGATGTGATCTGCGGAAGTGGACGACCTTGGAACTGGGACTCAACTTGTAGCTCTAGAACTGGATCACCAAAGAAGCTAAAGGACCAATGAGTGTATGGATGTCGTGTAAACTGCAGCCTTGCTTGACCTGAGAGGTGATTAACTGCAAACAGGAACACATAATACTTCTATCTAAAATATGGATCTCATTCAGCTCAATCTCCCATCCCCTTCCTAGAAACATAGAATATAAAGCTTATAAAATTGTAATTTTATATGGTTGTAAAACTCAAACAATGAAGAATGGACAGAGACTTTCTTTAAGGAGAATATGTGCACATAACAGATGAGAACTATAAGATATGTACAGAAACAGAAGTCTCATACAAATATAAATCACTCCGTCCAATGTGACCTGTAAGTTTTTTACTACGTGAAAACTTAACACCCTTACATGTTTCGGTCTCTGTGGACCATCTTCAGAGGGCAAACATCACTACAAATAGGAAACCACCATCACATAAATTGTTTAGACGTAAAGTACGTACACTTATATGCTACAATACATAGTACACAAAATAGAACATTTCACAAACACAGCAGTTTCCTGGGAATGTAAAGTTTTTTATAAAATTGTATAAAATTTCTTGATGCTAATTAAAAAACTTTGTGGATTGTCAATAATTAAAATAATTAAGTCTCATAATTTGAAAGGTGATTAAATAATGAAATATGAAACAGGCTAGATTTTCAGCAGCCACAGATAAAGTGTATCATTAATTTTCCTTAATGATGGAAGATGAAATATCTCTGATACTGACTCATAAAAATATTGTGTCATCACCAAAATATGAATATGAAAATCTGAACAAACGAACATAAAATTTCCTTCTCTATAAATGACAAACCTTTAACTGAAAGATATGCAGCTTTCCCCAACACCATATTGGCATCAATTGACAGCTGGAATCCACCAGAATACTCTAAATCTAAGCAGAGCTCCAATGTTTCAATATGTTGGTACTGTGGATGGAGCACTGCATCTTTGACAGACACACTCTTAATAGTTGGAAACTGAGTACCTAGACATAAATCTCGGATCTGCAACATAAACAGGTACATGGTAAGAGTCATACAGATATACAGCCTCACAGTAACCTCTGTCTGCATGATGACCATGCAGTGCTCTTTTCTATCCATCTTATCTAATTTGAGTATTTAAGGGCCAGTAAAAAATAAAATGATATTCATTACAACAGTTCCATGAGTTGCTTTATGTACTGGTATGACACTGTTCTCTTACTGACGTTAAGAACAGGGATGAGGGAAAGTTTGGAATATCTTGACCTACAAGACATGACACACCAAGAGAAACAGAGAAAATTATGTAAGCCTAGGCTGAGACCATGGAAACAAATCCCATGGATGATAGGAACAACTGTGTTTGAAGGTTTCTACATTTTGCCTATAACTTTATTCACCTCCAACCTCTCTGGCCAATGTCAACCAGCTCAAAGCCTTGTCACTAATGAAGGTTACCATTATCAACATGTGAACAGACTAAATAGATGACTCAAGGGCTGTTATTTACTTTGTGAAATCACATTGAATCATCGAGGTAAAAACGGATAAGAAATGAAACGCCTCCGTCCAAATCTAACGTTTACTGAAGACTAACTTCATTCACAAACATTACAAGATACCAAAGGTACATTAACAAAAGAAGCAGCAGTGGGTGTGGTACCAACTTATGAACAATATATATCACATGATAAATATGGCCAACACTACAACTATAGTACTACAACACCTCCCCTTGTTGGACATATTTTACAGTCAAAATCTATAATTACAATAACCAAAAAGTAAAACAAGTTTACAATTCCACACCGAATTTCAAACCTATCTTTAAAGACAGCTCATTTATCTTTGGACCATTAGTAGCTTTAGTCAGCATATCAGCACAATTAGTGCTTGAATCTACATACTGGATACTAATATCTCCATCATTAACATATTCTCTAATCTTATGTTGCCGCATTCTAAAATGCTTGTTGCGTTCAGTAATCTTATTCTTTGTGCACATATCATTTGCCTGTAAATTGTCTCCAAAGATTATACTAGGAGTAGATACTGCTACATTAATTTCTGACAGAAACTCTCTCATCCAAATAACTTCCTTGCTACACTCATATAACGCTATATACTCAGCTTCGTTGGTAGATGTGGCTACAATGTCTTGTTTCTTGGACTTCCAAAACACAGCTCCCTTTGA